ATCTGTCAACAGTTCTTCCCGGAGGTTCCATCAGGAAGTAGAATAAATGCATCTGTACTTCAGGCTTTCTATATGGCCTACCTAACGCTTACCCCCATTCAAGATTTCAGCTCACAAAAGGTAAAGCCTGAAGGACATGTAATTAGCATAAACATAATTTGAATTTCAGAAAAAGATGGGGGATGCCTGGGTGGCTCAGATGGTTAAGCATCTGCCTTCAGCTCAGGTCATGATCCCAGGGTCCTTAGATCAAGCCCCACATTGGGCTCCCTGCTTAGTGGGGAGCCTGATTCTCTCTCTGCCTGCCGCTCCCCCTGCTTGTGCTCTCTCTCTCTCTGACAAATAAATAAAATCTTTTAAATAAATAAATAAATAAATAAATAAATAAATAAATAAATAATTGAATAAATGGATCAAAATTTTCCATTTTTTTTAAGATTTTAAAAATTTATTTATTTGTCAGAATGAGAGAGAGAGCAAGCACAAGCAAGGGGAATGGCAGGGGGAGAGGTAGGACTCTGGGATCATGACCTGAGCCCAAGGGAGATGCTTAACCAACTAAGCCACCCAGGCATCCCAAAATTTTCCACTTCTAAGGGAATCTCTCAACTCACAAATTTCAGAATGTAAACTAATGCCAAGCAGAATAGACACACACCAAAAAAAACTATATCAAGGCATATTGTGATCAAATTGCTGAAAACTAGTATTAAAGAAAAATTTTAAAAGCAGTCATGGAAAAAAGATGCATTATATTCTGAGGGGTTTAGAGAAAAGATAAGAATTACAGCAGATTGCTGTTAGAACCTATTCTAGGCCAGAAGATATGGAGAGACATCTTCAAAGTACAGAGAGAAAAAACACACTTGACAAACTAGAGTTCTTTACCCAGTGAAAAATACCTTTGAAAAATAAAGGCAAAATAAAAACATATTCAGACAAACTAAGCAGACAAAATATATCCCCAGAAGAATTGCACTACAAAAAACATCAAAGGTAGTTCTTCAGCAGAAGGAAAATGACACCAGACCAAAATTTAGAGCTATACAAAGGCATAAGAAATATAGGAAATTGTAAATATTTGGATAAATATAAGGATTTTTTTCTCATTTAATCTTTTTCTAAGAAGATTTATTTATTTGAGAGAGAGTGCACACACGAGTGTGCATGTGTGCAAGGTTGGTGGGGGAGGGGAAAAAAAATCCTCAAGTAGACTCCCTGATGAGCAGGAGCCCGACTCCCGGCTTGATCTCACGACTCTGAGATTATGACCTGAGCTGAAATCAAGAGCTGGCTTTTTAACCTATGGCACGACCCAGGTGCTCCTCTCATTTAATCTTTTTAAAATAGAATTCATTTGAGCAAACTTAATGGCAACTTATCATGGGGTTTGCAGCAAGTATGGAAGTAAAAGTCATGATAATAGCATGCAAGATGGGAGGCTGAAATGGAAATTTACTGTTGTAAATTTCATACCCTATATGGTGAAGTGATATGGAATTAATGGAGGTAAGTTATGACAGTTCAAAGCTGTATAGTGTAAACTTTAGGTCAACTACTTATAAAATAAAACAAAGAGCTAATATGCCAATATTGGAGATAAAATGAAATCATAATTTATTCAAATTAACCCAAAAAAAGAGGAAAAGAGGAAAAAAGAAACAAACAGAAGATGAGAAAATAGAAAATAAACAATATGGTAGATTTAAATCTACTTACATTGACAATAACCTTAAAAACAAATGGGTTAAAATCTACTTTAATTAAATTCAATTTCCATATTGAATAAAAATGCAAGACCCAACTTTACGCTCAAGATACCCACTTTGACAGGAAATACAGGTAGGATGAAAGAAAAAGATAGAAAAAATATACCATGCAACACTGATCAAAAGAATGCTTGCATGTTATAATACTATTACACAAAGTAGTTTTTAAAAAATTATCAAGGATATTGGGGAGGGTATGTGCTATGGTGAGTGCTGTGAATTGTGTAAGACTGATGAATCACAGATCTGTGCCTCTGAAACGAATAATACATTATATGTTAAAAAAAGAAAAAGAAGAAGAAGAAGATAGCAGGAACGGAAAAATGAAGGGGGGGAAACCAGAGGGGGAGTCCATGAGAGACTATGGACTCTGAGAAACAAACGGAGGGTTCTAGAGGGGAGGGGGGTGGGAGGATGGGGTAGCCTGGTGATGGGTATTAAAGAGGGCACATACTGCATAGAGCACTGGGTGTTATATGCAAACAATGAATCATGGAGCACTACATCTAAAACTAATGATGTAATGTATGGTGATTAACATAGCATAATAAAAAAAAAGATACGTAAGTCATAGGGATTTACAGTACAACCTGATGACTACAGTTACTACTGCTCTATGGTGTATTTGAGAGGTGTTAAGAGAGCCAATCTGAGAGTTCTCATCACAAAAAAAAACCTTTTCTTTCTTTTTGATTTACTTTATCTTTGTATCTCTAAGAGATGATGGCGGTGAACTAAACTTACTCTGGTAATCGTTTCAAGATATATGAAACTAACATCATTATGCTGTGTACCTTACACACACACAGTGCTCTATGTCAATTATATCAATAAAACTGGGGCAACAGATATTTTCATATTCAAAATGAGCATCAGGAAAGTTGACATGGTAAAAAGAATGACACGTAAACAAACCTGAAAACAGCAGAACCTAAAGTCAGTAGATTATGGTACAGATAAAAAAAGATCCAAGCCATTTGCTTAAAAAGTGGTATTTTGAGTTTAAAAATCAGTGAATTCAAATTAAAGTAGATGAAATAGAATTTTAAATTTGTGTTATATTTAAAAAATTGATCAAGGAATAAAATGTCTTAATCAATTAACTCTGAAAATTACCTTTTCAAAAAGCTTTTCCTGTTTTGCCAATTTCGGATTTTAAGCTTTTACGTTCACACAGAATGAGAACATGTTGTTTGATCAAAGTTGTCTCAAGGAAAATGGCTGAAATAAGATGCCTGAGATAGGACCTAAATGGAAGAGTGTAAGTGGCAAGATGAAATTGCCCCATGTTCATTTCTCCGTATTTGCAGTTTTTTTTTTTTTTTTTTTTAAAGATTTTATTCATTTGACAGAGACACAGAGAGAGAGGGAACACAAGCAGGGGGAGTGGGAGAGGGAGAAGCAGGCCTCCCGCCAAGCAGGGAGCCCGACGCGGGGCTCGATCCCAGGACCCCGGGACCATGACCCGAGCCAAAGGCAGACGCTTAACGACTGAGCCACCCAGGCGCCCCTCCGTATTTGCAGTTCTTAAATACAATTTATTTTTACATCATGAAGGACATTAAGTTCCTGGAGTACATTCTAATTGTATTAAATGCATTAATATCTTTGTACAACCTGCCTGTAACCCATCTTCACATCTCATTGCATCTTGTAAAACTAAAACTCTATACCATTAATCAGAAACTTGAGAAAAAAAATTACCAAGGATAAAGGACATTTTCTTATGAAAAGGGGCCAGTTTATCAAGAAAATATAACAACCCTAAATGTGCATGCACTTAATCAGAGTATATGAAGCAAAACTGTATAAATTTGAAAAAAAGAAATCTGCAGTAATACTTCAAGATTTCAACACTCCTCTCAGTAACTGATAGAACAAATAGAACATCAATAAAGATACAGAAGAATTAAATAGCAATATCAACCAGACTGACATAGCTGGCGTGTATATACAAAACTCCACCCAACAGCCAATACACAGTTTTTCATGTACTTATGGTACATAAACCAATAGAGATTATAAGATAAGCTTCAATACATTTAAGAGGATAGAAATCTACAAAGTATGTTCTCTGAACACGACAGATTTAACCTAAAAATAAAAACATTCCCAAATATTTGGCATTTAAATAGCATACACTCCAAATAACTCTTAGGTCAAAGAAGAAATCACAAGAGAAAATAGAAAATATTTTTAACTTAATGAAAGTGAAAACACAATGAATCAAAATTTTTAATAAGCAGTTAAATCAATACTTACAAGAAAGGTTATGACATTTAAACTTATGTTAGAAAAAAAGTCCCAGGGGCTTGGGTAGCTCAGTCGGTATAGCGTCCAACTCTTGATTTTGGCCCAGGTCATGATCTCAGGGTTGTGAGATCAAGCCCCACATTGGGCTTGGTGCTAAGCATGGAGCCTGCTTAAGATTCTCTTCCTCTCCCTCTGCCCCTCCCTGCCTCTCCTTCTCTAGGAAAAAAAACCAAGAAGTCCCAAATGAATGATTTAGAATGAAGTGAACAAACTAAATTTAGAAAAGCTGAGGGAAGAAAATAGTAAGGAGAAGAATAGAAATTAATGAAATTGTAAACAGAAAAAAGTGAAGACTATCAATGACACCAAAAATGTTTCTTTGAAAAGCTTAAAAAAAAATTGATAACCCCCTAGTTAGACTTACCAGGAAAAAAAGAAAAAAGTCACAGATTCCCAATATTGTGAATGAAAGAGGTGACACAAACACTAGGAATCCTCCAAACATTAAAGGATGAGGGAATATTATGAGCAATTGTATGTGAAAGTCTAGAAAGGTAAATCTGTAGTGGCAGAAGGCAGGTCAGTATTGACTGTAAGTGGGCACAAGGAGGCTTTCTGGAGTGATAGAAATGCTTTATATCATGATTGTGGGGATTACCTGATTCTACACATATGTCAAAACCCATTAAATAACACACCTAAAATCAAAGAATGTTCCTATATACAAAATATGCCTCAATAAGGCTGATTTTTAAAAATTAAAAAATGAAGTAATGTGAATGGGGACTTCTGGGCAAAGGCGATGGATCAAACATATATATTTTCTTTTACTTTCTCCCAAACCACACTCAAACAACAGAATGACTTTTTACAGGCATACATCCACAAGGGCAAAGATAACTGGAGAAGAGATGACCAGAATAGCACATCAGGTGGAAAAACAGGTGGACCCTTGGTAACTGCTTTAGGAGACCAAAGAAAGTATAACCCTAAACCAAAAGTAAAGAAAGCCAAGATGCAACTAGATTTTATTGTATGTAATTATATGTAAAATGGACTGCAACCGGGTACCTCAGTTAGAGGATATAAAGGTTGGACTTAAAAACAGGAGAATTGGTTAAAGTCTATTTAAGAAGCATTGAGAGAGCCAGAGTCTCACCCCAACTCCATGCGGTTGGTCTGTCTCTTCTCCCGTGTCAGCAGAAAACTGGATGTTTATTCTGTGTAGAAAATAAAACACAGCCTTTGAACTCGAGGACTTCAGAACTGAGAGGCAAGAAATTACCATATTCATATATTTAACTAGTCACCGTTATCGGGAACACATTTATTGATTATCTACTGAAGACCAAGGCCTGTACTAGAAACACTGGCAATAAAAACAAACAAAAAAACCCCCCAACAATTGTCTATCCTCACAAGAAGCTCCTAGCCTAGTGGAAAGACAGAATCTTGACAGTTCATTGTGATACAGCAGTTTGAAAGCTATGAACGGATAGCACATTATGTTAGGGGTCCATTGAAAGGTACCAATCCCAAATCAAAGGGCCAGCGTCCTGATGATCATCATCGCTTATGCCCCCTCTAGTCCACTCTAGAAAACCTATTCCATGGAGAGCCACCAGAAAGGACATAGTGCTGCCCCTTTAATCATGACTGATTTGATCAGAAACATGCCTCAGAGAAATCTGGTTCCTCCACTGATTCTGCCATGACTGAGGTTTTCTCTGATTTGAGCTGTAAGGTTTTCTGTGGGTTGAGAATTTTGCATCAGACATTGCTGAAAAGTCATGATGTAGAAAGAGCAGCTGACCTGTGTGCAAGGTGAGTCAGCAGGGGAATCTGGCACATAGAGAAAGGAAAACACGGAGCAGGCATTCGGAAGCAGCAGAGTCGGGAGGGGACATGACGTGACCTCTTGATTTTCAGCACCCCAGCCTAGGACCTGGATGGCTCAGCTCTACTTTACCTACCATCTTTGGATTTTACCTGTTGTTGAGTTCTTAAAGGAATGCCCCTCCTTCTTTGCCTTTAGTTGTTTTTGTTTTTGTTTTTGTTTTTTGCCTTTAGTTGGTTTCTTTCCTTAGGTACAGAAAGACTAGAACAGGGGTCATGGGAGACCTCCTGAAGAAAATGATGCCCCAGCAAATCTCAAAGAAACAGTATGGGTTAGCCAGGCTAAGAATAAGGAGAATGGGATTCCAGGATGAAGCAGAAGGCCACACAAAGACTCACAGACCTGAAAAAGTGTGGCTCCTTCCAGGAACTGCACCACAAGCAGTTGGGTACCATGGAAGCACATGACAGCTGGAGAGAAAGAGACCAAAAACGTGCAGTTGGCATCTAGGCGCTGAATGGATAAGGTGACAACTCTTGGCCCATTCATGTCTTCATTTCTGCAACTCAGAGAAGATAAATAAGACGATCAGAAAGTTTGACAAGGCAATTAAAAGACAATGAGTTGTGGTATTCTGGTTCTGGGAGAAAAATTTACAGAAGTGTTGTTGTGTGTAAATATCCTAACTAGAAAATTAATCCAGGGGGAAAAAACTTTCAAAATATCTTTGTTTTCCCTTTGAGCTCTAAGGGAATTCATTTTAAGAAATTAAATGTGAGATGAATGGAATGGTAATTATTCACAGGTCTCAAACTTTCCCTGTGAATCTAAAACAAAATAATTCAGTCTTTGCCATCAATTAATTGAGAATTGAAATTAAGATTAACATTATTATAACAGAAAAACTAATTATCCAGAAATCTCCATATTATTGAGATTATCACACTTCTTTACAAAGAAAAATGAAGGCCTTAAACTTGCAAATTTTATTAAAGCATGCAAATTAGAGTGAAGAAAATTGAATTTTCAGAAAAAAATGTATGAATAATTAATTCTGTTTACACCTGGCCATATATTTCTTGATCATAGAAATCCTCATAGGACTAATAAAACTTGTACTAAAAACTTAACTGTTTTATTTATTTATTTATTTATTTATTTATTTATTTATTTATTTATTTATTTTTTAAAGATTTTATTTATTTATTTGAGACAGAGAGAATGAGATACAGAGAGCATGAGAGGGAGGAGGGTCAGAGGGAGAAGCAGACTCCCTGCCGAGCAGGGAGCCCGATGCGGGACTCGATCCTGGGACTCCAGGATCATGACCTGAGCCGAAGGCAGTCGCTTAACCAACTGAGCCACCCAGGCGCCCAAAACTTAACTGTTTTAGTAAAATTAAATAAAATCAAGGCGAATATACATTTTAATACACATAACTATTAAATAGAAAAAATATTTTACATATTTTTGCATCTAAAAATTCACTGATTTATTCTTTATTATGCATTCATATATACACGTACACATATGTATATCTTTTTATGTCTATACATCCATCCATTGCACAATTATAGGAAACAATTCAAAGGGAGGAAACAACATATTTGAAGGCGCACATAACTTTCAGTTTCTGAAGCCATAATCAGGTCTTTGATGAACTGAAATACTCAGCAAATTTATTTGATCTGTCATGGAGACTAAAAATAATAATATTAACTTATTTTATTGATTGTCACCATGTTGGTCATGGTTCTGGAGACTTAAGTCATTCACGCATTTTTTTCACCCATTTTTTATTCATTTATTCCTTCGCTCATTTATTCCTTTATTCATTTAATATTTATTGAATTCCTACCATGAAGCAAGTGTTATTATAGGCTTGGGCTACAGAGCAAAAGAACACCAATCTTCTCAAGGAGTTTAAGAGTCTAGGGAAGGGAGATAGATATTAATCAAATAAGTGCTGAGAATTATATTTAAAAGTTGTAACAAACACTATGATGATAAAACACAAGGGGCTAGAATGTAGATAGTAGAGTATCTGAACCAATCTGTGGTAGTGGTAGGATGTGGTCAAAGGATTCCCTGAGGAAGTGATGCTTGGACCAAAATTTGAAAGATAAGTAGGGCTTAACTAGAGGAAGTGAAAATGAGACCACAGACCCAGATGATTTTGAAAAATGCTTACACTAGTTGTGTAACATCTGTATAGAGGAAGAAATGAGGTATCAGCTCTTTATCTGCCAATTTTATGGGCTCCCTTTTATACATGAGAGCAATTCAAGATTTCAAGATCCTCCCAACATTGTCAGAAATAGTTTTGGGATCCAGATTGGGGGAGGGCACTTCAATTTACAAGTGAAAAAAAAGACTTCAAAGGGATGATAACAATAATACACATTTGAAATGTGATTCGGGTATATGTATTTTGCAAACAGGAAGAGAAATAGTAAATTAGATGAAATATGCATTTGGAAAATAGATTCAAATATATATTTTGAAAATAAGGGAGTCACATAAGTGAGAAAAGTTGTACATCCAAAAGGAGATTCAAAAAGAAAGCAAGTCCCAGAATGATGTAGAGAAAGGAAATCTGTAAAGATACTTTTTGTTTTGATTTACCTTGGGTTGTGAAGAACTACAAATAACAAGGGACCTATAGGAGGTTGCAACAGGAAATTCAATGTCTTGTGCTTTTTTTGCCTCAATCATATAAAGTTAAACTTTCAGAGCTATTTCATAGGAATGAATGCTTGGCAAACTGAAAAAAAAAAAAAAAGATTTAGTTTGGCTTTTTTTACACTTTGTTCAGAATAGAGATATTTGAACTTTGGAAGCCACAAATTGTAAAATGTATCAAAATTTTATTTTAGTAAATGATTATGTATCTTTCAAAATAGGAGGATGCAGACTCTGTGGGTCACAACGTTAGGCCTTTGTGCATAAAGAAGCAACTGGCTTCCCAGCTCAGAGAGGAGGCTGGTGCGGGAGCAGGATGGGCAGACCCTCCTCTCTAGCAGTTGCTATATTGTAAACACAAGTGAAGTAATCCCAAGGAGAGGCAAAAAGGACTTTAAGGATTCACTCAGTCATGCTCTTCTGCTCCCTGGAAGTAAGCCATGATTGAGATTGGCTGGAAAACAGCTGTTGGTGACAGACCCATCTGGCAAGCAGCTGAGACATGAAGTTGCTTTTTCTGAGCAAAGGCTAAAAGCCAATGATCTCTCTCACAGGCACTGATACAAACAACCATGGGCGCCTTTTAGAGCTTGTTGCTATGTGACTCTATTACAGGGAGAAAATAAATGATGATAAATAATAAAACAACACTAGTTACCACTTGTGGGGCTGATGGGGTTTAGGGCAGGCTGCCCCAGAATGTGCTATTTGGGCATATAATTTTGAATTAAAGTTACTTGAGAAACAGCCAGTACAAGAAGAACGCTCTGACTCTCTTTTCTGTCTCTCTGAAAGCAGGAAATAAATCTCTCAGGAGAAAGACACCCTCCCTGCACCAGGTGTAGAGACATCCTTATTGCCAGAGATCGGGAATTCAAAGGCAAGTAGGCTTTTTGTAAACAAACTCCGCTTAGTTTCCTCACTAATTAGTACTCAAATCTAAGTTTCCTTGTCTTGTCAGTTCTTCACAAATGTATTGTTTCTTTGTCTAGAAGGTATAAAAGCTGCCTTTGTTGGTCACATCTTTGGGTCTTATATTTTTATGGGGCTCAGAAGATACAAAATTCAATGTGTTTTTCGCCCATTAATCTGTGCCATGTTAATTTAAGTATTAGACCAGCCAAAAGAATGAAGAGGGGTTGGGGGAAACTGTCCCCTCCCCGACAGTTCTGGCGCAGTGGGCAGGATACTTCACTGGCTGGACATGGCGTGCTCCAGGGCCACCCCTGAAAGATCCTAGGGCCTCTGACTAGCACCAGCAGAAAGTAAGAATTCTTAACACACCCGCCTCCCAAGTCTCTGTCTGCAGGGTTCAATGGAAGCAAAAGTGGTGAAAACCCTTTTGCCCTTTTTCTAAATTTAGATTATCAGGAGAAAATATTTGTGGAACTAGTTCCTTGGTTATAATGACTCTGGTAAAGATTTTGTATGAGTGCTGTCAGTTTGTATTGATCCTTTTCCTCCCAGAGATGGCTATGATTTCTCTTCGTTCTTGTCTATTATATCACTCATCATAAGGAGGAAAAATCAAAGGGCAAAACACGGGCATAGACCCTATATGCCTGCTGTTTGAGCTGGCCTCACAGACTGATGAGTTCACAGTTCTCACCAGACCGATGTCTATTTATGACAAACTTTGCTGTGGGTCGCCTGCGTAAAAACTGGAGGAGACTTTTCCTTTTGTCTTGTTTTATGTCTTGAGAGTGTGCCTTTATGACCAATGAGAATATTCTATCTGGTCTCCAGCATCCGGAAGATGCACTTAGGAGGGTACACTTTGGTGGTCAGTTGAATGGACTGGGATTCCAAGACGCAAAGTTACAAGCAGCATCCCCTTTGTCTAGCCATGCCAGCTTTCAGGGGAATTGTTATAACAGGTTCCAGTCCATAAGGAGCCTTTGTCATCTCAACCTTTGTTGTCTGCTAAAATGCTAAAAAGTCTCATTCCTATAGCACCTGCCCAATGTCACAGATTAGCGGGTCTATGATTGGAGAGGCATCCCATGTTCCAACAAGAGACCAGAAACAACATTTTCACTGCACCATCTTTACTTCCTGTGCAATGAAGGCTTTTGCTTTCTTAGGCTGTCTGCACCTGTGAGGGCTGTATCTCTTATACTCTCTTATAGGATGCCTCTTGCATCTTTGGTGAAGCCATTAAAAAAGCTTATTGGTTTGAGTCACTATTTGGATTAGTATAAGATTCTATTCATCAATGATCAAACAGTGGATCCTTTGAATTGGAAAACCTTCTATATTTTAGAGAGTTTAAGCAATTGTCTTATTGGTACCTATGGAAAGACCAAATTAAAAAGTGGATACAAAAAATATGACGGCTAACCTTAGGGACTCCATTAACAAGATAAAAGAACAGAAATTAAAATTAAAATTAACACCCACAATCAACATAAATTCCCCTTCTTAAAATCTGGCCCCATCTCCTCAAATTCTCTTAACTCCTCCAACTCCTCCACCTTCCCAAGAAAATCCCTTAAACACTCAGCTGCTTGTTTTAACTTCCCTTTCCAGAAAAGATTTTTAGAGAGTACTCCAGCCTAATCTCTAGGCCCAAGTTATTCATGTAAATGCTAAAAGCCAGGAAATAAATTCAGAAATACCCAGGATGAGCAATAAAGTTCATTTTGCTGGGTTTTATAATCAGACTCTGCCAGCTTCAGGTCTTCCTATGCAATGTCTTTTGTGGATATATCCAAAATGCCCTCCCAAAGAATTCACATTCCCTGGACAACAGAACATAGAAATCTTTTGATTTCCATTTTAGTTAGAAATTTTCCAATTGATTGAAAAAGGCAAATTCAAAATAAAGTGGTAGAGTGGGTAAATCAACTTCTAAACACTACAATGGCAAAGCCTACCCAATTCTTTGAAAATAGTTTATGGAAATACAGATTTTTTAAAAAGTTAAAATCAATGATTCTTAATTTATAAATGGACTCTTCAGAAGGACAAAAGCATGACTCTGTAAGCAACTCAAAATCCACTCCGACTCTTTCCTATTTGCCTTCAGACATTTGCAGATATTATAAAGAAACAAAGATATTGAAAACAAAACTGTTCTGTACTTAAGAAAAAGAAGGAAAATTTAAATAGCAATTATTTCAGGTTTCTGGTAATAGACAAATATATCCCAAAACTCGAGGGAAAAACTTACATTGTTTCTCTGTTCCTCGAAGTTATAAATCTCATCATGCTTTAACAGGAAACAAACTGAGGGTTGCTGGAGTGGTGGGGGTGGTGGGAGGGATGGGGTAGTTGGGTGATGGACACTGGGGAGGGTATGTGCTATGGTGAGTGCTGTGAATTGTGTAAGACTGATGAATCACAGACCTGTACCTCTGAAATAAATAATACATTATACGTTTAAAAAAAAAAAAAAAGATAGTAGGAAGGGAAAAATGAAGAGGGGGAAATTGGAGGGGGAGATGAACCATGAGAGACTATGGACTCTGAGAAACAAACTGAGGGTTCTAGAGGGGAGGGGAGTGGGGGATGGGTTAGCCTGGTGATGGGTATTAAAGAGGGCACGTATTGAATGGAGCACTGGGTGTTATACCCAAACAATGAATCATGGATTACTACATCAAAAACTAATGATGTAATGTATGGTGATTAACATAACATAATAAAATAACATTAAAAAAAACATGTAAATACAACCCACTAACACCTGAGACTAAGGGGGAGGGGAGCTGGGGGGAGTGGGTAGAGGGGGTTTGTGGGGGAGAGAAAGAGGATTTTTAAAAAATACAAATGCTAAAAAGGCTCCCTTGCCCAAACTCTAGACCACAGCTTCCTTAAGATTGCTTCCAGTGACAATCTTTAAGTCTTCTCCACAATTAGTAAAAAGCTTTAGCTGTCTGAATGGATACACTTATTCCAACTGTTATTGATAAACTAGTGAGTTTATATTGTTATACCTGATTCATTACTAAAATTTTAAAATTAAAGCTATAGGATCTCTATGTTTGTCTATAATACGCACATTACAAATATTGTATTTTTCTACGTCTGGATGGTATTGCCAAAGTTAACTCATAAAAGAGCTCTGTTTAACTGGCTTAAAATTAAGTGCTTATAAATTAAGTATTTCTAATTCTCAAAAAAAAAAAAAAAAGAAACTAACCCTATTGCCTTTCAAAATCACATGCCCTGGGAAAATATTTGATATTAAAGCAAGCTTAAGTCTGTTGGTTTAATTATTACAGACATGTCTTTAGAGTTCTCATCATTCAACATAATGCTTTTATTATACCTAGGTTTACTAAAAGTCAAATAAGCTCATGTTATCTCTGTTACAAAATTTGTCACCAAGAAAAAAAGCAAATTTCAGACATTGGCTAACTGCTTTAATGTCTCAAGAAATTCTCATGAGTAATCTAATTATGATTGTTAAGAACACATGAGTTAAATAAATGCAAGTGAAAGAAGAGTTTTAAAAAGTGAATTTTTTAACAATGATTGCGTTATTATATGTCTACTCAAATAGTGTTCCTAATCTACTTGGTAACTTCCAGAACTTCCACCCTTAGGATTTTGTTAAATTAAATTAAATTATGGGAACTTACTGAGTGTCTAGATCATTTCCAAGTAAGATAAATACTGAAATATTAATTGCTAAGCAAGTCTAAGTTTACCTACTTTTGACCTCTTTTTACAAAGGAACTAAAGAGATTTAGGTGTATTAGTGAATATGTCTTGTGCTATGTTAAATAAATTGCGCTATAAGGAAATGAATGCTTCTAGAAATTATGAAATGTATTTATAATTTTGACAATCTAAGAATATTGATGTAATAGACAGCTCATTATTGTTTACTTTTTAATTTTCACTAGAAATTAAGGTTTCCAAGGCTTGAGAATTCTAATTAATATATTTAATATATTAGCTACCAGAAATAAGTGAAATGACTCTGTATGCAAGAAAAGTAGGATATATGTTTTTAGAAAGCAAATGTATGAGGAATAAAGATGCATTTTTGTTGAGGGAAAAAAAGTAATTTTGTCCTCAAGTAAAGCTGATTATTTCTGAACAGGAAAGATAGCAAGGGACAAATTAAAATAAACAAAGGAAGTTGTACAAGGTTTATGAAAAAGGAATCTTGGGGAAAGAATTTTATATGTGATCAAGTTGAATGAGATTCAATTAATTTGTTATAAGAGTTAAAAAAAAAAAATCTTAAATATCAATAGTGTACTTAGGTCAAACCGGAACTTAATTTTCTTTCATCTGCTAAACATACAAATAAGTCTGCTTGGACTATCGGTCTGCTCCTTATAAAAGTTTATGCTCCTCATAAGAGATAATAAAATGTTTTTCTTTACCTTTTAAAGTAATCTGCTTAGAAAACAAGGGTTCTATGTTTTTCCAAAACAATTTCCTGTGTTTATCAGGTCTTTGATTATTAAGGTAAACTTAGTCCTCTTAATATTAAAAGAGCTAAGTTTTGCTTAGAACTATGTAACCTTTTTTTTTTTTAAGATTTTATTTATTTATTTGAGGGGGGCGGAGAGAGAGAGAGAGAGAGAACATGAGCAAGGGGAGGGAGAAGGAGACTCTCTGCTGAGCAGAGAGCCCGAAATGGAGCTCAATCCCAGGACCCCGGGACGCCCAACCGACTGAGCCACCCAGGCACCCCAAGAACTGTGTACCCTTCTATATTTGCCTATTAGGTCTTTAATTGTCACTTTGGTTAAGTTGATAACTAAGTATTGTTTCACGGTGACCTATGATTCTCTTTTACCAAGTGTTTTAAAACCTTTTTGATATTTTTGACAAACTTCCCCCAAATCAAATTCTAAATAATCTTTTTGACCTCAAACTTTGAGAATTTTAAAAGGATCCCTGGGGCATCTCAAAAGATTTATTCTCTCCTCTTATAAAAGAGAAATGTGCGGTGCCTGGGTGGCTCAGTTGGTTAAGCCTCTGCTTTCGGTTCAGGTCATGATCCCAGGGTCCTGGGATCGAGCCCTGCATTGGGCTCTCTGCTCACTGGGAAGCCTGCTTCTGCCTCTCCCTCTATCTACTGCTCTGCCTACTTGTGCTCTCTATGGCAAATAAATAAATAAAACTCTTTTAAAAAAAGAGAGAGAAATGTTACACAAGTTAGGCTTATTTAGTATATTAAATTACATGGGAAGCATTGTCAAATAAGCGATGATAACCCTTCTTAGGTTATATGGTATAAGTGAATGTTAATATGAGTGCTCTAAAAATTATATAAAATTCCTAGAATTCTGATATGTCCTGGTATAATGTTATCAATCATAATTCCAATTATTATTATCTTAAAATGTTGTGTGTCACAGAAATAAATGATCTTGTCAAATTTTCTCATCAATTGCATTATAATGAACTCTCATCAGATATTTAATTATGGCTATTTTTAAGTCTTTTTTTAATTTACAGATTGTTATTGTTTCATTCAGATGCTTTTACAAAAGCTTCCTGCAAATTTGTTTGATCTTCAGAGAAATTCACGGAAAGGAATCTGACAAATACTCTAGAATACAGTCTTCTGATAACTTTCAGCTCCTATCACTGAACTAAATAAGAATTTATAGAAGCTTCACTGGGGAAACTGCTGGCTTCCTAAAACTTCTGACAAAAGACAGATCAACAAGAATTCATTACATGGGACTGAATGAACTGAGTAAGATGATTATAATTTTTATGACTTTTTATTTGAAACATTGCTGATTTTTTAATGTTTTGTTTTCCAGATTTAAAGAAACCTTTTTCTCTTTTTCTTAAGCTTCCTATGTCTTAGAGCAAAGATAAAACATCTCTTTTCCTCCCTGCCTGATCCCTCTAAATTTGGCAACTCTCAGTGAATATTTTTTATATGTCTATGGCAATATAGTTATTTGCATAAATTCAATAAAAATCCATATTTCACATACTTTGTCATTGTCTTCATTGCATCATTTATGTGATGTGCTAAAGACATCCTAAGTACTTATGTGTTCATCTGTTTTGTGGAATCCCAGAGTAGTCACAAGATCTATTAAAAAATACTTCTTTCTCAGACTCCAAGATGTTTGGTAAATCTGTCTCCTAAATATATTTACTCACACAACTTCCTCCATTGGTTGCAGATATTATTAGGGGATTCTTTTTTGAAGAATCAAGATTCTCTTTGGCTGAAGAGAAGGGAGAGGGGAGCAGGAAAGAAGGGAAGTACATGACCCACTTGTGCCTGATATCCATGGATCCCCACTGGACTGCACCCAAATATATCATGTTGAAGGGTCTGCTGTTGTTTGTAAAGGTAGTTAAAAAATTATCATTGTGCAGTGAGAAAGGTTTGGAATCAGAATACCTTTGTGAAAGTCCTTGTTTCTCTCTTTAATGGTTGGAGGACCTAGCCAAGTTACCTAACTTCTTTCTGCTTTGGTTTCCACATTTGAAAAATGAGGACAATAGTACCATCTGTTCTGCCCATCTCAGAAAGACTGTTTGAAATATAATGAAGATTCTGGACACGGAAGCACTTTGTAAGTTTTAAGGGGCCATTAGAGTTGGTGATGATGTTCCTGATATCATTACTGTGGAGTAGTTGCAAATTGAAGCCAAACCATTTATTCTTAAAGGGTGAATTAGCCACCTTGGGGTGGTGGTTTGTTTACTCTAAAATTCCTAAGATTTTATTTTTTAGTTTCAAACTAAGTTTTGGCAAACCTTACTTGTAAACGGTATGTATTTAAAATTAATGCTCATTTTTAATTTCATGCCATCACTACTGAAAAAAGATTCACACCCAGAAGAAAACTTTACAGGTTATAACCACAGAGAAGGCAAACTGGTTTTTCTTAATTGCTCCAAAGGACATTCTATCCTGAGGTGATAATTGTGTAAATTTGTAGACCTGTCTGAGGATCCAAAGTAAATGTCTAAATATACAGAACTCTATGCAAGAAAATAACGTTTTATTTCAAAGTAAAATTTGAGTTTAAAAATAAAAGCCAGTGTGCTTTTTTAGAAGATCTGTGATAAGATAAACAGACTTGCCCTCCCTTTCCCCAACCCCGACTATAATGACCTTCATTCCTAAAGAAATCACATAAAACTTCTTTGCTGCTTAATATCACTTCTTTTTGACCCCATCCTGGCCTATTTTCACTCCCTTTACACCTCTTATTCCAAGGTCATATCAGCTTTCAGATAAAAAGCAATATTTAAATATCTTTTTATATGGAAGATTCTGGATGTTCCTTGATCCTGTTGCCCTACCCTCGATATCCCCTGGGTTTTTCTTTCGAAGGATATATTATTATTGTATGCTATACGTAAGATAGTTTGTATATCATACAA